CAGAGAGAGTATTAATGAATATAGAGACAATGTTAAGCAGTGTTACACTGAGGCTAGATGTATTTGTACAACAAAAGATTGCTAACGAACAAGTCAGTAAGGATCAAGCTGCACAGCTTGTGCGAATTGCCTTAAAGTTAGAAGTGCGAAAAATAAGTGAGTTGCTTGATGCAGTAGAACATTAACTCTGAGAATCCTAATCTTCAAGAATTACAACTTGATAAACAAGATTTACAATCTATGTTAGATCATCTGTGTGGAAGAGTTTCTGAACTTAGTGTACTTGAGTCGTTGCATGCAGACTGAACTCAGAGCAATTTGGAAGTCTGTAGCAAAGACAGGATATCAGAACAAGACAGCACTAAGCCACAAACTCAAGAAATCTGTTAAGGGAGAAGCAAGCAAACGCATAAAGTCAGCGTTTGTCACAAAGCCTGAAGCCTATAATGTTATGTGGCAAAAGTGGGAAAGTTATTGCAAGGACGTTGGCGCCAGTGTTAATGCGGCTTTAAACGACTTACACAAGTTAAAGGTAGTATCAGAAGAGGACTATAAAGGCTTAATGGAATTAGTAGACAAGGTTGAATCTGCATATAACCAACTGGACAAGTTAGGAAATTTGAACATTCTCACACTGCGAGATGTTGATATGATTATGAAACTGTTACCATGTCATTTGAAGGTTTCCCGGCGTAGAAAATACAATGAGATGACTGCCACTGAGAAAGTACACCCATTTGTTTATTTCATGCAATTTCTGGAACGTGAATGAGAAACTGTTGCTTGTATTGCGGACGTCCAATCAAGAAAGAAAAGACTGCACCAAAACAGAGCCCTGCGGATGTTGGAATATTCAACATCATCAGTTACTTTGTGAAGGCAAGAAGATGAAGGAAAACCTCAAAGTGCAGAGGAAGAGAAAGTTCAACGGAAAGAAACCCATGTTTCCCAAAGTGATGCACTATCCCTTTATGCTATATACAAAGCAACAGTGTGTGGCAGTAAGAAAACAGCAACTGTGTTCTGTGATGGAGGCCCAAATGTAACCTACATTACACACCATGCAGCTCAGCGAATAAGAGCTTGGAAGCTCGGAAAGGTTACCCTAGATGTCACTAAAATGGGTAATGTAGAAAGGATTCATGTCACTGAAGAGTATGGAATTCACTATACGGACAAACTTTGGTAAGAAGGTTACAATCACAGCATACGGGATGGAACAAATCACAGGACCAGTGAGCAAATTAAATTGTGACATTCTAAAGAATTTTTTCACAGAATATGATCCTGAGTCACTACAGAGAAAATCGAGCTATGTTGATATTCTCCTTGGGTGTGACTACTTTGGGTTACATCCCAAGCAAGAAGAAACACGATACGGAGTCCATCTCAGTATTATGAGCGGTGAGTTAGGCATCTGCCTTCAAGGCACCCACCCAGAACTAGCGGAACTACGCGTAACTCGAATCTTATCAAGAAGATTCATGCAGATTCAAAGTTGAGACATACAAAGTTCAGTGCGAGACACACCCCCAATTCAATTTCACTCCACCTTCATGCCAAATCAGTCCTGATCAGTCATCATGCCACCCAACCAACAGTGTTCATCTTGTCTTCAACAAACGAGATCTAATTGGACAGTTTATTGTTGGAGAAGAGCTTGGCACAGAAACCAACCCACCATGTGGTGGATGTCGATGTGGTAAATGTACTATTCTAGGGCATACATATTCGTTTAAGGAAGAGCTGAAAGTAATTAGAGAAAATCTGAGGAATGATGAATTCAATAAATGCTGGGTAACCAGCTATCCTTGGACTGTTGATCCCAAAAGTCTACCTGACAACTACAACTCAGCAGCCCTGGCTACGCTGAATAAAACGGAATGTACTCTCAAAAAGGACGAATTTTGGGCGAATACGTACAAAGACCAGATGGATGATATGGTTCAGCGAAAAGTGGCTCGAAAGCTTATGGCTGTAGAGATTCAGGAGTGGAAAGGCCCTGTTTTTTACATATCTCACTTGGCAGTGGTCAATCCCAAGTCGAATTCTACTCCTGTGCGCTTAGTGTTCAACTCCAGTCAGATCTACAAAGGGGTGTTCTTAAACTCCTGTCTGGCAAAAGGTCCCGATTGTTATATGAACAATCTTATTGGTATCTTGTTATGTTGGTGTGAAGAAGCTGTTGCATTAGTTGGCGATATAAAGAAGATGTTAAATTCAGTCCACTTGAAGGAATTGGAGAAACACTGTCACCGGTTTCTCTGGCGCAATCTCGAACTCGACCGGCCAGCTGATGTATATGTAATGGAACATGTCAACATGGGTGACACACCTGCACCAGCTATAAACACGGAAGCTATTTACAAGACGGCTACGATGGCCGAGGAGGGACTTCCGAGATTCTGATTTCCGAGATTCCGATTTCCGAATTTCCGATTTCTGAGATTCCAATTTCCGAGATTCTGAATTTCCGATTTCTGAGATTCCGATTTCCGAGATTCCGAATTTCCGATCTCTAAAATTCAGATTTCTGAAATTAGGACTTCCGAGTTTCTGTCTTCCGCGTTTCCAAGTTTCCGTCTTCCAAAACTCTGACAGTATTAGTACGAGCTGGGGGGATTACCGTTTTCTAAGTTTAAAGGTTATCTTATTAAAAAAATAGATATTATGATAACTAATGCAACTTAGTATTGTATTTAATACAATTACTCGTCTTAGATAGCTGTTATAGGTTATTTCTAAATAAATAAATTTCTAACTTGCAAAAATTATGTGACTTCTTGCAGTTAACTAACATGCTTGAAGCTAATGATGAGCTGAAGGAGCTTAAACAAATATTTCTTTCACACAAGGTAAACAGACCATGGTTTATCGGCTTTCAACTTCACAAAATTAATAATTCACAAAGTAATTTCCATATTTGCATAATCTAGAAACTCAAATCATGCCTATTTATAGAATTTTGATGATTTGTACCAATATAAACAGCACCCTGCTTTATTAATGTAGCACTTCTGGATCAGTTAACCATCATTGTTATATGAAACATTCAATTTGCCTTTAATTAGTATAATGATTGATATGGCCCTCGTTTTTAGGGTACTTTTTTAAACCTTAGAGAGTAAAACAATCTAATAATAACTAAATTTTCAAGGCAAATTTATTCTGTTAATGGTTAGTTGTGTCAAAAATATTAATTTTACATTATTACAATTGTCTAAACTTGTTTACAAAAATTTGGAATACCCTAAGGCCTTATCTGCATGATGCAATTAGTCGTATGCAATTTGTATACTGGCGTATGTATTTGAGTAAATATGAGTAAAAATGTCACATTTTAAATTTCATTATAAACTGATGAACAGAAAGAATGGCATCAGCAATCATTTTCATACGTCAGGGTAAGAATCCCAAATGACTAATTGTATCGTGTAAATAGGATATAATGAAAATTTGATATAACAAGAAAGCTAGATAATCATTTACACAACTAGTGCATCAATTAAGTTTTTTGTGCAAATAATTCTTTAAATAAGTTTCCTTCTTCAACAGAAGAGAAAAAAGATAGGATTGCAAATCTTATGGAACAAATAACAGCAAAGGAGAAGAATTCCCAGAAAGACCAAAAATTTGATGAGAAAAAAGAGAACAAGAAACAAGAAAAAAGAGTGTTCAAAGCAGGAAAAAGATTGGAAAGACTCGCAACATACACTATGGTTGGTTGCATCGAGCATCCAGTGACAATGCATACAAACAACTCAAAAGGCTTGAAGGTGCAAGTGTACGTACGGTTCCGTATGAGGAGGAAAAAACAGATTTTACCTTAGATTTTCTGAAAATAGAGGCATGTCATCTATTTTTTCCTGGGGGAGAATCTAAACTGGGAAAACTTGAAGATTTTCAGATTGAAATGGGCAGTTTCTCACAGGAGCCAATCAGTGAATTTCTTGACACTAGCGGTAATCCATGTTCATATCTGGAATATCTTTGTGACCGAGGCCTTTACCCCAGTAAATTGTACATTTACCTTATGACTACAGGACCGGGTAACAAAAATGATACAGGTACACATAATAATACTAATTCTAAGGCAAGCGTAACTAAAGGTGTGGATGATGAAAAAGAAACTGTGGCACATGCTGACAGTTCGCAACAAAGCCACAAATCTGAACACATAATACAGAACTTTGATACGATGGAAGATCCGGTTAAAATAGACAATAATGAATATTATAAAGTTGTCCTTCATGGTATAGATGTCTCTCCATCCAAAAATCAAATTGGCATAGAATATGAAGAACTTACAGAATCCTCATACAGCAAAGTCACTGTTCGATGTTTAGCAAATTCTTTAGAACAGTGTTATTGGGACAAAAGTATTTCTGATCCATGTATAAGGGACGAAGGATTCGATAACTTCTGTCCTCTCGAGCATGGGTTTACTGTCACTGGTATTCATAAGGCAGGTGTTTGTTATGTTGAAAGAGTTTTTACTCCCTCCTGTGAGAGTTCTGAGGAGTCCACTTCTCGTTTCTTTTATCCCTGCCGGGATAACAGCTCGGATGATATTATTATTCATCATCCATTGGAAATATGGAGGTATGATGAAAATAAACTTATCTTGGACGTGGTAACATCATTCATCAGGGTTCGAAATAACGCTCTAAAAATATGTCTAATTTTGTAGGCTGTTTTTTGTAAGTGAAAATTTTTGCCGGCTGTTCCCCAAGCAAAGTTTAGTTAGGTTCTGGAGTGGGCATAACTATATGAAATGAATAGTGATGCAAACCAGCACAACATTTGTAACAAAACAACAATAAATTTTATTTGTTCCAGGAACGAACATTAATTATAAATGCGTCATAAACGACTAAAAATCCATCACTGTGAGTCAGTGTCTACAAAAATATTATCTGGTGCTCAGTTCATTTTGGATATCTTTTCACTATAAACACTACCGTACTATATAGTTTAGTTGGAATCACCACCAGTTACGGTCACTCAGAGTTGAGACTAGAGTCACTGCTTCTCATTCCGCCCAGGAGAGGGTCTTCGCGATAATAATCAGTGTCTTTGAAACTGTCCGACAACTCCAACTGAGCAGATTGAACTGGTAGGATTTCTTGACTCGGTCCTGGGGCATCTTCCTCTGACACATCAGATTCCATCTCCTGTTCATTTTCCCCACTCTCCGATTCTTCTCCGCACTCAGCTCCAACGTCTTTCAACCAATCTCTTAAGAATTCTTCCCTCTCTGTCTCCCTTGTCCTCTTTGATGCGCTTTCTCTTGCAGCATACTGCTTTCGTTTCCCTTGGTTCTTCCTTCGCAATTTTTCACTATTCCAGAGGTCCACAGCAAGCTCACCAAAACTCTCACGGAAAACGGGCAGGGTTGGACCAGTCACTTTAATGCGCATTAAATCAGTCAAGTTGCGTTCGTTCAACCGGTTGCGCCAGTCAGTCTTGACTACTCGCAAGTACGAGATAAATGACTCGCAGACTGCATTGCCGTACGGGCAGCAGAGACACAGCTCGATCAGCGCCCACTGTTCTCGTATCTCCTCAAGCTTTATCTTCCAGAGCCTTGGCCACAGATCAATGGAGTCAATAACAGCTACGTTAAAGTATGCGGTTGCCCACTGCACTAACATAACATACTGCTCCTGCAAAAGTTCTTTGCTGATCTGTCGTAGTGGATCGACATCTTTGAAGCTTTCGAAAACATTGGAGATTGCTTCCATTTGCACGGACAGCTTGTCCTCAGTGGCGTCTTCCATCCAAACGCGAGTATTCAAGAGCTTGGCGACGCTGTGTGCTACTTCATCTGCGTCCTTTGTTTCTTTGGGCGATTCACGTTCGTCAGCATGCACCAAACTCCCATAACGGCGCGCAAGTGACTGGTAGATGGCTGCAACATTGCGATGCACCAAGGAGTTAACTGCATCCTTGCCCTGCTGGAGATGTGTTACAGCAATACCCTGATACTGAGGTTCTTGACTAACAACAGACAGGCCTTCCTCTTCGATTACAGAGAGCACGTGTTTCACAGTTGGCAGCACGGACGTTGCAGTTGCATTTGATTCTTCTGCTCTACGTTTCATAATCTCATATTTCTTGAGGGTTTGGTCAACTGAGTCAACTTGCTTGACAATGTCAACTTCTCTTGTCTTCTGATTGACCAAAGAAAGTAGCCGAACTGGTTTTAAAATATCAGCATACAAGGCAGATTTTAGCAACACAGAACCTTTTGCTATGCGCCGCCTCTTCCCTTCAAGAGTCGCCTTGTCATTCTGCTTACTTGTATCTGCAATGACGTTCTGGATGTGCGTCAAATACAATCCCCTCTTGTCAACGAAAGCTTTCATGGCTCGTAACTTATGGTCAATCCACCGGGTACCGCTCGATTTGGAAGGCTTGACTTGTCTGTTCTCAAAGCTGTACACCTCTTTCAGGATTTCATGCAAACTCCTCAATTCTCTCAATCGCTTTCCAGAGTTCTGATAAATGTAGTATAAATCCCGCAATGCTGTTTCAACTTCCTCCATGTCGTTCTGAATCGCGTCCTTTATAGCTAGTTCAAGTCGATGATTCATGCACCAAAAGAACTTGATGTGCTTGCCAAACTTTTGCTGCAGTAGGGAAATGACACCACCTCGCAAACCCGAATTAACTGCAGTACCATCAGACTCGAAAAAGACAATTCTCTGCAGTTTCTCTTCAATACCACATTCCTTGAAGGCATCGATAATAGCGCCTGTGATCCCTTGCGCATCTTGCGATTTCACCGATTTCAAACTTAGAAACGCGAGTGAAGCTTTAAAGTCATCTGGATCTACAAACAAAATATAGATGACTTCTTTCTCTATGCACGCTGCATCAGTTGCCCCGTCAGCTAGCACAGTTATAAAATTTGCTCTCTTGACTTTATCCTTGACTTGCCTCTCGTACAGTGCTTTTGCGGCAAAATGAATGAATAGCGAGCAGCCTTTGTCATTCTCGTAGGTACCGCCGGGCATAAACTTCACTCCATGTAACTTTTCAATTTCTACGTGGTCAACCAAATCAGAATAAGGCCGTCCCTTGTATGCTATCATATATGCAATGTCAAAGAGATTCTGCATGGCGCGTCTTTCATCAGGTGTAAGCGTTCCCATGTTGCTGATTGCCTGAGCAATGGGGGCATCAGCTGGCACTGGCAGTGACTGCACTCGCACATTTCTGTTCTCGGCGGCTGCCTGTTCTTGTTCTTCAAGTCGCAAAGCTTGTTTATGAAGTTTACTTTTAACGTGCTCTGTTACAGCCGATGACTTTAAATTGGTAGACCCAGTAATAAAGGCGTTTGTCCCAGGAAGTTTGGTACTCCATTTAACGCAAATATCGCACGTCAATATTTTTCTTGTTGCTGCATCAAGTCGAAGATACTTATTTGTCTTTCTCCAATTCTCAAAAGTGGTTGTTTTGACTTCTCGACCCAACATTAATATTCGTGGTTTTTATCTCTATTACGTTAAAATTTTTACAGCTGTAATGTTGCCGATCAAGCGAAGCGAAACGTTGTCTCAACGTAATGAATGTGTAGCGCCTTGTCACCGAATAACTTTGCGCATATTATGTGGTTTCCGGACGGCGCGCAAGGAACTTTTAACAACATTATTTAAATGTATAATTCTTTTAGGATATAGCGTCGCCTAGATTATAGTTTATAATTCTGTTAGGAAATAGACTCGCCTAGTTTAATCTTTACGCCGCAAATATTATTTACCTTATATTTCCTCTTGGCAGCAACACTTGTGCATATTTATAGCTCATTATCACTTCTTTCCTAAAGAGTGTTAACACTCTTTATTTCCTAACAGAATTATAAACTATAATCTAGGCGACGCTATATCCTAAAAGAATTATACATTTAAATAATGTTGTTAAAAGTTCCTTGCGCGCCGTCCGGAAACCACATAATATGCGCAAAGTTATTCGGTGACAAGGCGCTACAAATGCACAGCTTGCGTTAGTATGTAAGATGAAGTACCAATGAAGCCGCTATAAACAGCAAAACGCAGGCACCACCACAACTTGAAAATAAAGATGGCGTTGTGGCGACAATACTAATTTAAAAAACAACGATGAAAGGATCTTGACTTTTAATTTCGCCACTGAATTTTCGCAACTGCACAGCAGCATGATGAGCAAAGGAAGAATACAAAGCATATTCGATGTCATGATGTTTAAATATATAACTGTTAACTATATGTTTGTGTTATTGTAATGGAGTCATCGACTCATCGGCGCATAAATATTTTCGCTGATCCCTTATGCTTTGAAATTAAAAGTCGCCGGCAAGGTCCTGAAACTGCCGACGGCTATTTCGAACCCTGTTCATGGACAATCCCGAAGTCGAATATGTTTGGTATAACGGCGAAAATGTTGTGAGACAAGGACATAACTTATGTTGTATACCTGTAAATGAGCCTGGTATATATAAAGTGAAAGTTAAAGTAGACGGAAAAGCTGAAATATCAAAGCCAATAGAAGTTAAAATACATAAAATTTCGGTAACTCCGACTACTGAGGAATTCAGTAAGAAATATGTGTATGCTGACCAGGAAGCTGGTGTAAAATCCTCTCATTCTCTTCCTTTTATTGATAAAGATCATGTCACATTTGCCAAGGAGATTGGAAGGGGGTCGTTTGGAGTCGTTTTCAAAGGTGTCTGGTCTGGCACTGATGTCGCTATTAAAGACATCAAGGTTAGAAATGCTAAACGCCTGGAAAGTGTTATGGAAACGGAAGTCCAAGTTCACACTATGGTGCGCCATCCAAATATAACGCAGATCATAGCCGTTTCAATAGAGAAGAACCATATATATATAATATCAGAATTTGTCGATGGTGCCAATCTCGAAGAATTGTTGTTTGGAGATGACGTCAAAACGAAAGAAAATATAGCAGAAAAGAAGCTATACATAGCAAAGCAGGTCACTCAAGCCGTCGCTTATTTGCATAATCTTAATCCTCCCATCGTGCACCGTGATATCAAACCTGCTAACATAATTGTAGCTAAAGATTCTTAAGTCACAAAGCTTTGCGATATGGGATTAAGTAAACTGAAATCTGCGACGATGCAGGCAGTGACAGCAACAGGAGTTCCTGGCACTCCTCACTATATGGCCCCAGAATGTATTCTTCGCAAGAAAATTCTGATTTGAATTCGGATGTCTGGTCGCTTGCGTGCACATTACTTGAACTACTTACAGACAAAGATTGCTGGGAAGACCTTATTGAAGAGTTCGAAGATTCAGATGATAACTACGAAGTCAATTGTATGATATCTATATTTCGAAGACAAATTGTTCCCAAATCGTTGGAACTCCTCTCTGGTAATCATTCCACCATTTTAACGGACTGCTTTTCGTACAAACCTGCCAATCGACCTTGTGCAATTTATTTAGTCAGTGCATTATCAGTGTAATATATGTTTTGGAGACATTTAAAAATACTGTTCCCAAAACATAATTCTCACCGCCTTTTCTCAGCCCGTTTCCGAAGGATACAAACCAACATTGCGCAATAAGCTATGCATTATTTTGTGATGATAATTATGCGATGAATGTTTCTATTTTTACTTAGTATAGTTTAATTGTTCATATTCTCAACAAAACATATAATACTTTTAAACTTTTAAAAGCTGTAACAATTGATATTCAGCACAGATTCGTTGTGGTTGTACGTTTCTTGAATATCAACAACATTAGATTTGATTTTCTAAATCAACTGAACAGAGAGAATCCCGTTTTTATGCTTTCATCGATCAATGTTGTTAATAGTTGTTTACTAACTGAACAATATCATAAAATAGTTTCAGTGCATCTTTTGCGTTATCAGGAGGGTTAAAATTTGGTATTAAAAGTCTAATTAATTCCTCTATGTTGGCGTCGTAGTCAGAACAATTTTCTGTGTACATTCTTTTGCAAATAGTAACATCCTCTGTGTTGACATGAATAAGGTAATCTCTATGATTATTTATCTCTAACATGAAATAAAGCACATCAGGCTTTCCTGAGTTTACTTCATGTCGAGGTTGAGATTGAATGGTATAGGTATTCCATAATTCAGCAACGAGAAATAACTCTTTTCTTTTCTCAGAATTGGCATGAAGAGGAATTCTCAGCATGGCTAAGAACAAGTCATTTCGCGGAGGAAATACCTTATGCATTACGGCACAGCTACTTCAAGAAGCTGAAGATCTCTTAGTGAAAAGCGTCCAGACGGAGTTGAAGAGTGAAATGAAGAAAACTGATGATACAAGTTCGTTTTTGATTGCCCTCCGCAGATTTGCAAGTATTCGTGGATGGCTGCAAGAGAGGGAGCTGAATGAAGCTTGGGCGAAGATTGATCGGGAAGATTTACATATGCAAGGCCTACGAAATGGATTAACCTGGGTATTTAGATCAGCTGATAGTCCCTGGCACCAAGAAGCAGTTGAGTCCCTTGTGAAAGCAGCAAGAAGAGCGATTGTCTTTGCTGTGGGAAAAGGATGACTCTCGGTACCTGAGTTCCTGACCGTGTGTACGGAAGTTGCCAATCTTATGAACGAAAGGCCTATTAGAACCTTACCATCTATTGATTCCGATCTGAATGTCCTGACCCCTAACAGCCTTCTGTTAGGATGCGCTACAGCTAAGAATCCTGGAGGATGGCAACCCTTCACATACAGTCAACATCCTAGAACAAGATATCGCCTTGTGCAGGTAGCTGTGGAAGACTTTTGGGAAAAGTGGGTACAACTGTATGCACCTACTCTGATTTTGAGAAGGAAATGGCATGTCAGCACACATAATTTACGTCCGGGAGATGTGGTAATCGTCGCTGATAAGAACGTTATGCGGGAAGAATACCGTCTTGGTGTAGTCAAGGACATCTTTCCAGATTAAGATGGCAAAGTTCGTCGCGTTCTTGTGACTTACAAGAATTTTTGTGTAGGGAAGAACAAACAAGAGTTCTAGGAGTGTTCAGCACCTCACATTGCTTGTGCCCATGGAAACAGAAGATAAAGAACAGGAAACAAATAAATGAACTTCTAAATAAGATTGAGATAAACATTGTTGACATTTTGTTATTTTGTTGACAGGATATCACATCAACCTCATCCCCCCGGTGCACTGGTATAGTCAAGAGATTTAAAACATTAAGATATAGTAAGACATTTCGATACGATGTTACGTGAAGTATATTATGTAGGAACTAGAACTTGAGCCTGCGGTAGGAAGAACGCTAACCGTTTTGAGTTGATCACCAAAACATGGGATTTTCACCCCATGCAATGGATCGATGTTAGAATGAACTGGTGGGACATGAGAAGCAGGTTGGTCAGGTTTGGATGTGGTTCCAATTGTGGGAGTAACATCTTCCAATGTTTCAGGGTCTAGGGAACATAGTGCAGCTGCTGCATAGATCTAGTGTGTCCACTTGTCAAGTTGATCCAAGACATCAACACAGTCGAAATACTTTTTTACGTCTTTCATCGCCACAGGCATTGTTAAGACTTCTGACTTTCTTGCCATCTCCTTTTGATACTCACAGTTAGTTCTCGCAGGTATAAAGTCTCTGAACATTGCAAAAGCAGGGAACTGATCAAACAAAATGTTGGCAACAAGTATTTTGTACCGGTTCCGAATTGCATCAGATTCCAGTTGATTGATTTCCACAAGTTGATGGACATTGCAATCTTTCAGAAATTGCTGTGGACCAGAATCAGGCAATCCCTTATCAGGAACCCGGTTGAACACAATACTTGTTGCCACAGCATGAATACTTCGAATTTGGACATCCTGCCTCATATCATGGGGTTTCTTCTCCCAATCAATATTGTCCAAAAAATAAACAAAGGAATGTCCACTTTTAACTAATTCTCCTGCTCGGTTGATGAAGTGCTTGCCAATGTCTTCCAGAATTGGGTATTTAATTTTCGGCTCCAGACATAATCCATATTTATGTAGACAGGCAATCAGCTAAATGATACAATGAACAATGCTCAATATGTCATCTTTATGTGTCATATGCAACCTTTTTCTTTGTCCTAAGTTAGAACCTGTCTAATGCATTGCAAATACAAAGTCATGTCAAGGAGAGTAATACAATTTAAAATCACCACTTATGACATGTTAGTCACTAATGCACATTGGTGTATTTAATACGTAGCAAAGATTCAATGCTATAGGCTAGCTGCAAGCATCAGGTAGTAAAACAAAATAGTTGGTTGCAATTTGTAGGAAATGGTAAATAAGTAAAACAACTCACATTTACAGATGCCTGGCCTTCTATTATGCCATAGACATTCCATCAAAGCCTCTTTGTCTAAGGACAGATGGCTGACTCCTTCTGGCAACATGAATCAGTTCTTTGTTTGCCACAGCTAAGATTTGATCATCACTCTTTAATATAATAATAATATTGAAATTTATATTAATATTGCGATTTCTTCCCAGCTTTTCAAATTTAATGTTAAATGAGTATTCAGGCCTGTGATCTAGACTTTGACATGCAGATGCAGGTTGCAAGGTCATGACCTGTATACTGTGTGTATTTTACTGTGTGTATTTAATAATAAAAGGAAAATAAACAAGTTCCAAATAGGCACGACATTTTAAACCTGGAACGTTCAGCGTGTTGTTTTGATTAGTTTATATACACACAGTATTATAAATACAGGATATTATTATAGAGGAAGTGAGGAACAAGTAAACATTAGTATAACAATATAACATGTGGCCACGCATGTGGCATCCTAAGTCATCATGAATATTAATGTTTTTTAAATATTATTACAGCGCTAAATATTCAACGATAAATACTAATATTGACTATTATTAATACATGTATTATTCATGAAAGTAAACTTTCAGTTAAAGGTGGTGGCGATGAAGTGAGACTCAACTCACCTTGGCTGATGTTGAAGTCGATGCTGCGACGTCGCAGAGTTCCAACTAAATAAACTTTTGCGGGTGGTTTATTGACCAAAGGGGTTATATCAACACAACATTTTGCTCGGATAGATTCTTGTAACACGCGCTGAGTTTCTTCGATAATGGTCTTAAACTTTATTGAGTTGGTTAGTCTCTGATCACAAGGCGCGCAAATTAGGTAAGGAAGGCTATCGTTTTGTGGCAATTTACCACCATAAACACGCTCCGTGTTGCGTAGAACCGCCTGATTTTGAGAACGAAACAAATTCCTGCAATGTTTCAGGCGAGTAACAGAGTTACACAGTATACAGCGAGAAATACTACCAGTCAAATCCGTTTGTTTCTTGCAAAATTTTTTCGGCGTGTCTTTGCTAGCCATCGACTCAATTAAACTGAGCGGTTGCAAGCATGCTCTTTGAAATTCAAGCTTTATTCGACGCATGGTATGCAATATGAGAACTCTTGCAACTTTTTACTGGGATGGTAGAAAACACGGATACCGGATAGTTGGATACCGGATAAACGGATGCACGGATAAGCTATTCATATGATCAGAATTTTCTTAATTAACAATGATTAAAAAAATGTGAAATGGCTCATCAATGTTTCGTATTCAATTATAAAAAGACAAGTATCAGAATGTGGTTCTCACAAGTTGAAATATTAGTCAAGTTAACTTTAGTCATACTCATGCCCCCAGCTTCATACATATGAAAACATACCTCTACAATCCACGCATAAAGATGGATAAAAAGATAGACAGATAAATAAATAATGTATGAGAATAATGACCAGTTCATCTATTAATATGATCAGGGTTGGTTCATGTCACAGAATTTTTTTAAGACAAGTATATCGCAATGTTGTATAGCTATCTAAGTCCTCACTATACCCTAACAAAGCGTTCATTTTAAAAGCAAATAAAATATATAAAACCCCTATACTAATTTATGTCCGTTGCATTCTGAAATTCCAAAATTATTCCTCAAATGATGTCCATGGATAAACTGGAGGTTTGCTTGAATTGCTGGAGCGATTGGACATAACTGGTACGAATGAAAGTTTCGTTCTTTGCGCCTGACGCACAACAAATTGCAGTGAAAGTATGCATTACTTACTTTACTCCTCGGTTGTCCTTGGTATGAATACTCATGGGGCATTTTGGATACAATAACTAAAATAATTTGGTGGAACTGGAATGCAACCAGCGTCAAGTAGAGAATTGCTACATCCAAAGCATGTAGAAGTTGACGAAGGAAAATTTTAACAGATATATTAAAAATTGTCCGGGTATTGGGTTTGGGTAACCGACCTGTTGTGTTGGTGGATGAACAGTGTTGGTAAAAGTGGATTGACAACAGACCTAACAGCAAACAAGGCCTTAACTCGCTTTTGGTGGCCTATTTTTCGTATCCCAATGTCTTTTATCAACACTTCCTCCAACTCATTTGATGTCATTGTTAGCAAATGATTCATGTCGTCGTAACCTTGTCTATCAAATTCATTCCATTACTGCTCCAAACTATTTTCTTTTAAAAATTTGTAAGCATCGTTCTTCTCATTTGCATTAAATTCCGCCATTTTTGAAGCATGACTCTATATTAAGAGCCAGCGAACATTATCTAGCATAATAGAGTGTACTTCATTTTAATGCGGAAATAAAATGCATCAACTGAAAAGCTAAAATGGCTGAAAAAAACAAAGTGAGAACTTCAATTAGAGAAAGTAAAGCGATGAATGATGTAGTTCTTAGTTCCTTACAATCATGCAAACTCAAGGAGAATCTGGACATTCTAGAACACAAGATTACCAGCCTTTTACCAGGTTATCCAATATGGGAGCATTTACGAGGACTTTGGGTGATCCTTGTTTGCTTACTTGCAGATGTAACTTGTATCAACGGTGCTTCACAAGTGAAAAGTTATGTGGACTTTAATGAAGCCTACTTACTCTACTTGAGTTACCGTATGTATGGAGAAGCAAGTATAAAAAATTGCGATCAGACAATGAGATAAAAAAACGCATTGAAAGGAAAGAGGACATTCTTCATTAAAAGGAGAAACTTGTAAGCTGTAAAGAATCACTCTGGTCTGCAACTAAAATTGCTGAAGAGAATGAAACTATTGAAGACATAAAAAGTAGTATTGATTCGCTCAAAAAGTTAAAGGAGGAACATGGATCAGCTCCCAGGTTATAACTACTACTCAAAATTAGAGGATTTCTCCAAAGCTCATATTAGAATTGGAAATAAATGTCTAGAGTTTGTAAAATTTGTTTGTGAAAACAACAGCATTGATGGTTCGCTATGCTTACACTGCAGCAAATCTGGCTGGATTGACGGTGTTTGCCAAAGAATACCAGAGCCAATGCCTGATTATGAATCTACAAAATACAAGTACATGCATGTCAGAGACACCCAAACATTGTTGATTGAAAACCAAGGACAGTGGATGATTTTAACCCCAGAGTCCAATTAAAGAAACAGTATGCGCAGGGTACTGTTAAAGCAGAGGATCCATCCACAATTACAACTTTTGCGAAAAAATTCAATGTAAATGAAAGTGCAGTGAAAGCCTGTTTGGATGACTTGATTTTTAAAGATGCAAAAAAGCTATTGCATAAAAAGAAAAACAGAGTAAAAAGACAAATGGAAGAGAAACAGAGTTACAAAGATGTTGACTGGCTTGGCAAAGTTGAAGATGGTACTATAAACAAACTTCTTGTGAAAACTCTTGATAAATATTTTGCCAAACACAATATGACGGGATGTTTAAGTCTAAAAAAAAAGGCAAAGATTCAGGCAATTGCCAAGCATGTTAGATCACAAGGTTTAATGGAGTATGCTAAACTAGACAATGACGAAGAGATAGATGAGGAGGAAAGTAGCGATTCTGAGTCATCTGATGATGGGATGGATGAGGTACAGCAATGATCCTATTGTGAAATTAAAGTGATCTTAAACAATTATATTCCAAAAATATAGGCCAAAAAGTTCCATGCACATTTAAAGATAGGCTGTAGTACAGTAGGACATATATACAAGTATCTACAAAAGCTGCTTTGGTACTTCTAGGATGCTAAATGTTTGTATTGCCGAACCATTGCGTCTTAGTTTTGTACTATTTCCAACATATTTTCTAGGTAATTGATTACACAGACAAGGGAACAGCTGATTCTGATTTGGATGATTTTCAAAGAAAAAATGAATGTGATGAAAATGACGGTGATGATAATGATGATTGTACCGATGATGACAGCCAAATAGAAAATCTGTTCATTCACACAAGAAGTAGAAAGATTGCAGAAAATTGGAGACTTTCCTCATGCATTGCTGGTGAGATGACGCTTTATTGTAAGAAATACTAGGTTTACACTTCTATATTTGAACTCACAGTTTTATCAACAATCTTTTCTACTAAATCAAATTTATTGCTTTTTTTTTGGCAACTTTACCATGTTCGTTATAGTTGTTTATACATATCTACCTTTTTTATTTAGCTGAAAATAAAGGAAGAATGTAACAGATGGTAAAGAAATGGTCCGTTTGTTTTCTTTCTTTCTGAATGACTATTGGACAGGGAGGGGGGGGGGGTTATGAAATATTTTGACTCAGTCATGGGGGGCATGAATATATTGGTAACATGTAAGAGGGGCCAAAAAAACCAAAAGGGTTTAAAAATAATTTCTTCCAGCCCCTTCCCCAGAGTTAATAGGTCCCTAAATAAGGTGATTGCATCTCAGTTCCTATATTTTGAGCCAATAATGTGTTCAAAATCTGATTTAAATGCGTACTCTCAAACATCACCGCTAAATGCTAACCTTGTAAAAGGCTTGGATTCGTGAACAGAAGTAAGTTAAGATTATCATTTAGTATTATTTGTATTTGCTTGTTATTAATTTTAAACATATTTTATTACACATTGTATTTCTACACATTTAGATCAAACTAAATTTATACGATATGCAAAGTTGTGGCAAACCATATCATTCGATTTCTGCCGAGCTGAAAGCTTCACTCATTAGATCTGGAAGAGCGTTGACGCACCTCATTGACCATAAGTGGAGTATTGATGAGATAAAGAAAGCACAGTCGAAACTTGAAGATGTATTTAAAGATTTGGTTCAAAAGCATTAGAAGTATACTGAGTTTATAGAAGATGAAGTCGCATTCGAAGCAGAAGAGAAGTGGCTGGAGGATTGCCAACAATTCCTTTCGTTTAAATCACAAGCGAATGAGTATATAGAGAAAGCAATTAAAACAGTCATACTGCAGTTGAATGTTAATGGAAAAGATAATTATCGAGAAGTTACAACAGGCAAAAGTAACAAGGAAAATGGTCCAGAAAATGCAGAAAAGGAAATTATCAATGGGGAAACATCGGGAAAAGATTCACCGCAAACGGAAGCACGGCAAGCCAGCCACAATACCATCGCTCAAGATGACATCACGGAAAGATTTGTGTTTAAAGTTGAAAGGTTAGGGTTTCTTAGGTTAGCATTTACTTTTTGCTACAAACAATAATATCTCTGTCCCATGTGCTTGCATGAATTATATGTGCCTAGAGATGCCTCATCTCTTGTAAGCTTTCATATTCTCACTGGGCGCTTCGCTAAACAATACCATATTGATGCGTTAAAACTTAATGCAAATATAAGCAGCATCAGAGTAATTGCATGAATAAACACGGTTGGTATAAAAGACCGGGAAAACAGCAAATTTTCACATTTTGCCACGAAGACGACCTGGCTGCATATACAGGAAGGAATTTTTTGCTGTTGGAGTGTCGCAGCCGAGCCATAAGTTGGATATGGACGACCCAGCCGTTCAACCTCTGGCAGTGCATATTGATGCGGTTTTAGCAGAACTCCAACCACCTCAGCAAGCCGTACAGTTAAACGATATTGCAGTCGAGATCAATAACCCCGTAAATCCGCCAGTACAGCCTCAAGAGCCGCGAATACCCAGTGCAGGTTTCTCTTCGTATTGTTTTTACTCGGCAGGGTTAGTGCTTTAGGCTTAGCTTCGTTGTAAGGGACAGGGTTTTTTAAGCTCCTCCTTCAAAAGCTTACGGGATTTGTCCACATGTCTCGTTTTCCTTCTGGTAGTGCAATTCCTACTTTGCTGTCTGTTCATCGGGAGAGGCACTCTTAGTACGCCTTACATTCTGTCTACGACGGGATACCCGTGTTCAGAGGCTGAGTCGGATGTCGTGCTTCTCACCGGGTCGACGTTTCGTGCATGTGTATAACCCTTTCCATACTTGCCTGTTGCTAGATTAGGTAACGGGTTGAGGGTGGGAGCTTTGTATCCTATAATTATTATAGTTGTTCTTTAGTATACTAATACCACTGTTATATCTCCCCCGCGTTTTGAAAGACATATAGGAAATTTTTTGCCTTTGGTCTAGTACAGGATATACATTCTTTACCCCTTTGTTGAGGCGGCATCAAATTCCTTTTGATTTGAATTAAGGGTTTAGATTTATGATACCTTTGTTGAAGCAATTTGCCACTTCGGTTTAATTACGCCTTTATTGAGATGGCCAAGATTACCTACACTTGCGTTTAAGCGATATAAATTTATAGGCCTTTTGTTGCATTTGGTTAAAATACATAAATAAAATGTTTACGCATGCTTTTTGTCCAAGCGGCATAAGTACCTCTACGCTTTTGGTGAAGCGGTATAGATTTACGATGTTTTTCTTGAACTCAATCTAGATTTATTTACGCTTTTGTTGAAGCGATATACGCCTCCCAGTCTACGCTTTTGGTGAAGCGCTATGAGATTTACGCTGCTTTATTGAACTGACCTAGATTGGTTTACGCTTTTGTCGAAGCGATATAAGATTACCCAGTCGACGCTTTAGGTGAAGCGATATATAGGTTTATGAATTAAGATGCTTTATTGAACTGGTTTAAATCTACTTCCGCTTTGGGTGAAGCAACCTCTGAACGCTTTTGGTGAAGCAGTAGGGACTTACGATGCTGAATTGAACCATGCAATCTAGATTTATGCTTTTGTGGAAGCCATATAACTTACTTCTACGCACTTTTGGGGCAGCAGTGTAATTTATGATGCGTTTGCTGTACCAGTCTAGATTCATTTACGGCTTTTCATTTGTTGGTGTGCGAGTATAGGTTACCAGTCCATACGCTTTTGGAGAAGAGGTGTGAATTTAAGTTTTTGTTGAGGCAATTTCCCATTTACAATTTATTTACGCTTTTGCATTTAGTTGAGACGAACAAAATTGCTGGCTTGCGATCCAGCGATAGAAATTCATGGTGCTTTCCTTGAAGTCTTAAAAATTGTTTACGTTTTTCCTCAAACCGGTATAAGTTTCACGTACCTCTAATGCTTTAGTGAGGCGGTATGGATTAATGCTGCCTGTGTTCCAGCAATATAGCTCACCTATGAATTGCGACCGGTGTAAACCCGGACTTACGCTCCTGATGAATATTGTGATTTTTATAGATTCTGCAACACATATAAACGAACTTCAATGTTGTAAAAATCAAACAAACTTTAAAAAATATATTCTGCGTTGTTACGTACCAGGCTTAGATTCGGATTGTTCTACACACGCCGTGGATTTATGATACGTTTATTTACGTAATTACCCATTTGGGAGTACTTAGCTATATTTTCGTTGAGGCGACCAAAATAGGGGCGAATCTACGTCTTGGTGGTAGCGGTATTAAAACGGTTTAGAACTGTTTATGAATTATGTACTTGTTAAAGCTATAGATTACGTTTATTGTTTACGGGAAATCATCTGCGCTTTGCTCCACCGGAATTATGTGCCTGGCGCGCACTTTCTTTCGATTTTTGAATCTTTGGATTAAAGATCTCCCTTTCTCTTTGGACAAACTCACTGATCCCCCACGTTATGTTAAAAAGGACCACTACCAAACAGTCATGCATGACAAGAGTGGTTACGATCACGTTCTCCCTACCAAGCGTAGTCAGGCGTTTTTCGGTCTCCAATGATTTTCCCCCGTTTGTGCTAATCGGTCCGCTTCTAAAGTTTCTTCAAACCCAACGCTGCCCGTTCTCTGTCGTCGTTCCGGATCTTACACCCAGGCGCTACTGGTGGCCGTTACTAAAACATCGTTGTTCTACTTCATTCATGTTGGGAAAAAGGGCGCTACTGGTGTCTTACTTTTCCCTGATTAATGATTTTCGGCTTCAGGACCCGCCCACTGCCATGGGACCTGTGGGTCTTCAGGATCCCTTCTGCATACTAACGTTTCCGTACTGTTCAGGCACGTGTACTGTGATGTTCCTCGTTTGTGGAAACTAGCTGAATGTTGCCCCAAATGCCATTATGCTAACGATGTGGATTTCAACGGTGTGGATTTCAAAACAAACATTCCATCGAGTTTATTCACCAAACGTTTCCATATATAGATTTACCGAATATCAACGCTCGCTTCCAATCCCTCCAGTCCGTCAGAGGCCAAAAGCCGTACGAGTGTCAGAAGTCCCGTTTACAGGAAGACGAGGAGGTATTCTTGGCGTCTCTTCCACAGCCAAAAACGTTGATTTCTGCTTCAACTGGGGATGTGATCCGCTTCCTGATTTGAAAAGATAAAACGGGTTAAACAAACGTTTTGACTCGGACGCCTGTCCATTTTTGGGTACCTCTATTGGATGTGCAACCTGCAAGTGTCCTACCAGGCTCGCGTCAGGTACAACCGACAACTATATAGCCAAGTTAAAGGCAATATTTACATCGCTGGGCCCTCTTGATCGCTCTGATGTCCCTTCCGTGGGCTTTGGTAACCCAGCTAGTCACCCAACTGTCTCTAATTATCTGAAGTCTGTCCGCGAAGAACAAGTTACGCCAAAACAACCCGTTCCTTTGTTCTTTGACAAAATTTTTGGCATTGTGCAATTCAATCAAGGCGTCTTTATCACAACATGATATTAGCCTTTTTCTGCCTGGATCTCTACTCCGGCGATCGTGTTTCTCATTTAGAACGCTTGAAAACGAATAATGTCATGTGTCTGCCTGGTAACGAGGGTTTCTTAAATCGCCACACCTGCGGTAAGACACTTCAGGGAAAGCACACCCATGTGTTCGCTGTGAAGCCTTCCCCTTCGCCATCCTCCTGTCCCCGATCGCTAACCTTCAGTTATACATCCTCCTGTGTGACAGAATGCACGTCAACCTACGCCAGGGTTTTCTGTTTCGCTCCACGGACCCCAAAGGTTGCGTTACTAACGCTCTTTTCTTGGCTCGGCTGTTACCAATCGTCTAAAGAAGTACCTCGCCAATTTAAACCTTGATGAAGGCGAGACCACCCACAGCTTCCGGGCAGGTTGTTCTATAACGTTGTCACTACTGGGCGCCTCTGACGAAGCTATAGCTAAACACATTGGTTGGAGGAGTGTCGCTACCGCACAATATTACACCCAAACGGATGCGGTCATGCATCCCACCCAAACCTCTTCTATCTTAACCACCGGCGCTTCTGCTTCGTCTGCCCTCCAAGATTCCCGCATGCGGCAACTTGGAGAAACCTTTCGAAGCAAGCCTTGCCTTGAAAGAAGCCTTGCCATAATGTTAGATAATATAACGCTTGTATAATACATCAAGTTCATATTTTTTCTGAGTATTGGAGAGAGTATTTGCAAAGTAAACGCGAAAGGATTGATCAAATGTTGTTTCAGAGCCAGCGAAGCTCGGGCGTGAAAATCATTTTGTCCCCATTCTTAGTTTATTTTCAGCTATGGTATTGTGCAGCGGAGCGAACGGTGAGAATATATTCATATTTCTAAACATAATTAATTATTCTAGTGCTCTTAATTAAAGTATCTAAAAGTAGTGTCTTATTGCACTTTAAACATAACTCAACGAAACAAAATTGTAGTGTTAATATTTGGTAGAGTATAGCGAAAATTTAATATTTAAATTCCAGGTTAGGTAGCTTTAAATAATAATAAGTAGTAATTTAAGCTCTTTACCTGCCTGTGGGGTCATATGAGCCAAATTTCATAAGTTCAGTAGTGGTCAGCAAATGTATAAGTTTGAGCATGCTCAATAGAAAGATTTTACTTACTTGGTATTTAAAATTACGAAATCAGCTTTGTTTCAGTGCTTTTTGACAAATTTTTTTGTTTGAAAGTTTTTT